CTGAACCAGAGTTCAGTGGTGCATGGGGCAAAAGAGGGACAGCCTATGGATGAAGCTGTCCTTCAGTCTGCTGGTCCTGGCCTGGAGACTCCGCAGTCTCCTCCCTGATGGCAGCAGACTAATGAAGTTGTGTGTCGGGTGAGTGGGATCACCTGCAATGCAGAGGGCTTTGCGGGTGAGACAGGTGTTGTAAATGTCCTGGAGGAAGGGGAGAGAGGCACCAACGATCTTCTCAGCTGCTCTCACTATGCGTTGAAGTGTCTTGCGGCAGGACGCGTTGCAGGCGCCATACCACACAGTAATGCAGCTCGTCAGAATGCTCTCGATGGTGCCTCTGTAGAAGGTGCACATGATGGGGCCGGGGCTCTGGCTCTTCTTAGTTTGCGGAGGAAGTAAAGACACTGCTGTGTTTTCTTGGCCAGTGCTACGGTGTTGTCAGCCCAGGAAAGATCCTCTGTGATGTGCACACCCAGGAACTTGGTGCTGCTCACCCTCTCCACAGTCACACCATTGACGGTCAGAGGAGCATGCTGAGTGCGCACTCTCCTGAAGTCAATAACAATCTCCTTAGTTTTCTCCACATTCAGAGAGAGATTGTTGTCACTGCACCACCCGCCCAGGCGGCTCACCTCGCTCCTGTAGTTTGTCTCATCTCTGTTGCTAATGAGACCCACTACAGTTGTGTCATCCGCAAACTTAATAAGGAGGTTGGAGTTGTGTGATGGTGTGCAGTCGTGGGTCAGCAGAGTGAAGAGGAGGGGGCTCAGCACACATCCTTGGGGGGCCCCAGTGTTCAGTGTGATGGTGCTGGATGTGTTGCTGCCGACCCGTACTGCCTGAGGTCTTCCAGTCAGGAAGTCCAACAGCCAGTTGCACAGCGAAGTGTTGAGCCCCAGCTGGACCAGTTTGTGAATGAGCTGTTGAGGGATGATTGTGTTGAATGCTGAACTGAAGTCTATGAACAGCATTCTGACGTATGAGTCTTTTTTGTCCAGGTGTGTGAGTGCTGAGTGGAGGGTAGAGGCGATGGTGTCATCGGTCGAGCGTTTGGACCGATATGCAAACTGGAAGGGGTCCAAGGAGGGGGGGAGGGCAGACTTGATGTGGTGCATGACTAGCTGTTCAAAGCACTTCATGAGGATGGGGGTAAGTGCAATTTGACGGTAGTCATTGAAGCAGGATGGAGACGACTTCTTCGGGACTGGAATGATGGTGGTAGCTTTGAAGCATGTGGGGACAACAGCCTGACTTAGCGAGATGTTGAAAATGTCTGTGAAGACATCGGTGAGTTCCACTGCACAGTCTCTCAGTACACGCCCAGGAATGTTGTCAGGACCCGGAGCTTTGCCTGCATTGATCCTGCTGAGGGATCTCCTCGCGCTGTCCGGGGACAGCGTCATCACCTGGTCGCCGGGAGGAGGTGGAGTCTTCTGTGCAGTGGTGCTGTTTTGTGCCTCAAAGCGAGCGAAGAGGACGTTCAGCTCATTCAGCAGGGAGATAGTGCTGTCACAGGTGCGTGGTGGGGGCTTGTAGTCCGTAATGGTCTGTATCCCCTGCCACAGGCCCTGAGTGTCTCTGCTGTCGCTGAAACGATGGGCTATCCTCCTGGAGTACTGTCTTTTTGCCTCTCTGATGCCGCGGGAAAGGTTGGCCCTAGCTGTCTTCAGGCCCACCTCATCTCCAGCTCTGAAGGCAGCGTTCCGCGTCTTCAGGAGTCAGTTGACCTCCCATGTTAGCCACGGCTTCTGGTTGGCCCAGACAGTGATGATCTTTGTGACTGTTACATCATCAGTACACTTGGTGATGTAGGCAGTGACAGTCTCTGAGTACTCCTGGAGGTCTGTGGTGTTATTGTATGTGGCAGCCTGCTTAAACATATTCCAGTCAGTGGTGTTAAAACAGTCTTGAAGAGCCTCTGACACTGCTCACTGATGTGCTGGTACAGTTCATTTAGTGCCTCGCTCCTGTTGCTGTTGTTGGAGCTGGGAGGGATGTATACAGCAACGAGCAGTATGACTGTATATTCCCTCGGTAGAAAATGGACGGCACTAAATAATCATAAACTCCACCAGGGATGAGCAGTGTTTGCAGACCACAACAGCATAGTGACACCACGCATCATTGATGTAAACACAAAGCCCGCCGCCGCGGGTCTTACCTCCCTCGACGCGAGCTCTGTCTGCTCGATAGCATGTCAGAGCGGACAGACATGTAGTCACATGATATTCAGACTAGCAGCATGACTGTAAACATGGTGTATATTGAGAACTTTCATTTCTGACAATTTGATGCTTCATTGGTAAATAAAAGTATTACTTAAAAAAAATAAAAAAAATAATAATATATCTATAAAATACATTTAATTTAAATTTAAAATTACTGACCCACATTTTTTTTCATAAGTGATAAGTTACTGTAAGGGTCAAACTGTAGTTCTTACTTTTTATTCCATATATTATGCTGGAGTTTTGAATGTTAATTTTGGACCTTGGAGTCAAGTCTCAATATTACATCCAAAGCAGTGCAGAATTAAATATTATTCCCTCTTCTTTCAGCATATGCACTAAAATATATTTATTCCAGGCGTGACATATTCTGATGTTCGTTCACTATGTCATATATGTTTTTGCAGCGTGAGAGAAACTCTTTTGATGGAGACAAATCATTGCTTGTTATTGTTCTCCATTTCTTCGTAAATGTCATGTGACTGAAAAATTTGCTTAGGGTGCAAATATGCAGAACATTGTTTCTTATTTTTTCTATTGATTTGTGGGTGAAGTGTGACCTGATGGTCTGTTCTGGAGATTCATCATCACATCACACGTTTCTGATTGTTTCACTGGTTGCTTGCGGTCAAGCTGCTTCCTGCGGTTTTGATGCCTCACATCACTCATTCAAGACAAATGACCATCAATCTACAGACGCCTTATTGTGCTTCAGATGAGCTCGTGTCTACATGCTTTCCTGTCTCTGTATTTCCCTCCAATACACATGAAAAAGTCCAATCAGCCAGAGGTCTCGCTTCAGTAAAGTCCACTGACTCCCTCCCACTTCATAAACACAGAGACGGTCATTTGTACAGTATATTGCACATTGTAAATACTGAATAGTTTTGCTGACTTGAATACGATCAGTTTTGAGTATATTGACTATTTCACTCTGGCTGGGAATGTGGCTCAACCAATCAGAATGCAGAATTTTATAACTGAGTGATGTCACACTTGCAGTAACTTTGTTCTGATTGGGCTGCACGTAGTTTCATGATATTCAGACCAGCAGCATGACTGTAAACATGATGTATATTGAGAACTTTCATTTCTGACATAAATCGAGGTAGCTTGTATATTTCTTTTAGGGATGCACGATATATCGGCCACCATATCGGTATCGGCCCATATCGGCTCATTTTTTCTGTTATCGGTATCGGCCAAAATTTTCATATCGGTGCATCCCTAATTTCTTTCCTGTCTACAATAATAAGTCCAAAAGAAGGCAAAAACTGCAGGTTTTACTGAAGCTGTTTTTGCACTGATGCTAGACTTGTCATCAAAAAGACCCATTACCACATTTTAGTTGCTATATAAAGCTTGAATTTCCATTAAAATAACTGATTATATAAAATCACTCATAGCCTGATATGATATTTTGATCAACGCTCAGCCTTATCTGCACACTTTGAATGTGACCTTTTTCTTTGCACGGAAGGTTCATCATAATTAAGTGACGATTTGAAAAGCTGTGAGCAGTGGTAAAGGTATGACTGTCCTAGAATTTGTGTCTGCATAATACAGAGCTCTGGCTTTAAATCATGCTTCATAAATATTGCAAGGTTGTTGCCTTTGTATCATGTATATGTGTGTTTGTTTATATTCTGATTTCCATATCAGCTATTCTTATTCCATTGTTTTGCTGTACTGTGCATTTATTATGCTGTGCTTATGCTGTACACACACACACACACACACACACACACACACACACACACAGCAGTCAAAAGTTTAGAATAATTAAGATGGTTTATGTTTTTGAAAGAAGTGTCTCCTGCTCACCAGGAGTATATTTATTTGATCAAAAATACAGTACATTTTTTTTAAATAAATAAGTTTTCTGTGTAAATATATGTTAAAATGTAATTTATTGCTCTGATCAAAGTTGAATTCAGCATTATTAGTCTTCAGTGTCACAATTATGCTGATTTGCTGCTTAAGAAACATTTCTAAATGCTATCTATGTTGAAAGCAGTTGTGCTACCGAATATTTTTGTGGAAACCGTGATACATTTTATTTTTCAGGATTCATTGATGAATAGAAAGTTAAAAAGAACAGCACTTATTTGAAGCAGAAATCTTTTGTAACCTTATAAATGTCTTTACTGTCACTTTTGATTAATTTGATGCAACCTTGATCAATAAAAGTATTACTTTCTTTCATTTAAAAAAAGAAAAAAAACAGACCCCAAATATTTGAATGGTAGTTACACAACTGATTTCAACATTGATATTATTCAGAAATGTTTCTTGAGCAGCAAATCAGAATTCGATAATTGTAATAATATTCCATAATATTAAAGTTTTTTTTCTGTATTTTTCATCAAAAAAATGCAGCCTTGATGAGCAAAAGAGACTTCTTTGATATATTTTGAAAACCTTTCACCAGTAGTATGGAATTGTGTAATTTTTCTTTATACTTTACTGTAATAAACAGTAGATGAACTTCAGGGGAATGCTGTCAAAAGTCAGACACTGCCATCTAGGATCTCTGCGAGAAACTGCCTGACTGTAGATAACAGGCTTTAAACAGCAGTGCAGATATTGCTATGAAAGATTTGACATCAAGGAATCATTTGATTATTTGCATGTAGTGTTGTTTTCTGTGTTGTCCGCAAACAGAACTGTCCTTTTAGTTCCAGGCCCGCATGTGGAGACTGAAGTTGATTCTCCTGACCTGCTTTTATATTGTATCTTATCCTAAAATCAAACTCATTTCCATCCATCTTACAGGTAACAAACGGGTCTTCAATAAATGTTTTCCTGCCAGTTGGAGGACGTCCACAAACACACGTTGCCCCGTTCGCAGACAGCGATTCTGAAGTTCTGGAATGGGCAGCAGAGACGTTTGGTGGAGTGACGTCCTTCACCACAGCACGAGATCCCATGACCATAACTTTCACCGGGATGAAGGGTAAGATCATGCTCTGCATCGGTGTAGTCGCCTCTTAAGATGCGTGCATTATCAGTGATCTGGTCATTTCTGAAACACTGAACTCTTTCAGGTGCACAGCAACCATCAACGTGTGACCTGCAGCCAGAAACACCAGCAGATAAACAGTTCATTGATCTGAAGCTGACACCTCCATCCGATGAGCTCAAATCATGTTACACAAAGAATTCTGGGGAACCACTGCACGTGATCAATATTCCTGATGGCGTCAAAATACGGTAAATGGCACCAGTAGAAATGGGATATGGAAATGATTTATTTCCATGATTGGTCCAAAATGCAGCTTCTACTCTGACTGGGACAGTGCTTCACTTCTTCTGGCCTCTACTCATTATCTGTACAGCACAGAATTGAAGTTGAGGTTTCATTTGTTTGTTTTTAAAGATAGTTTAGTTTTATCTCTCCTCTGTTGTCATTGCTTCCAACATTGTCATCTTCTACTAAATCTCTCCTGTCTGAAGTTTAAAGTTGAAATGTGATCACTCCATTTTTTTAAAACTCTGGTCATGTATCAACATTGCATTAATGTGGCTTTTTTTCTTTTCAGGAATGTTTCTTTGCATGTACCATCCAAGTCTAAAGTGGTCCTGAGAGGTCCAGCAGGCACTGAGTGGACCATCGACGACACTAAGGATATCCAATTGCTGGTGAGAATTGCATGTGGAAGCTTATTTCCACCACAGAATACACATTTTTATCTAACTTTTGTTTTTCTTGTTATTGCAATCCATAGTGTATTCTGACTTTTCATATCATAAGTCACAAGTCATAAGTGAGAAAATCCATAGTGCAAGTTAACTCGCAACAATAACTTTACATAACTCACATTTGCAAGTTACATAATGCAATTCTGACTTTTACATCTCACAATTCTGAAAACGTTCTTCTGTGTTCACATCTTGCAATTAATAATTAGCTAATTTTGTCCAAATCGTGAAAAAAGATCCAAACTGTGAATTTATAACTTGCAATTACACGTTTACATCTTGCAATTAATACCTTGCAGTTGCAAGACATAAATTTACAATTCTGAGAAAAAAAGACCCAAATTGTCATTTTATAACCCACGATTACGAGTTTATATCTTGCAGCTCTGGCTTTTTTACATCTTGCAATTAATAACTCATAATTTTGAGTTCCAAACTAGCCTGCAATTATGAGTTTGCATCTAGGCATTCTGACTTATTTTCTTTGCAACTTGTAATTGCGAGACATAAACTCACAATTCTGAGGAAAAAATATCCAAACTGTGTCATTCAGATTATTTTTATTTATTATTTTGTCAGGATTCTGAATTTACATCTCAAAATTACTAACTTTCAATCAAAGTAAAGAAAAAAAGTCTGAATTGTGAATGTATAGCTCACAATTATGAGTTTACATCTCACAATTCTGACTTTTTTCTCATAATTCTGAGTTGTGCATATGAATTTCTAGAAAAAAGTAAGAATTGAGAGATAATGACTTTATATATTTATTGTATTGCGTAAATAAGCTTCCACATTTTCATGACCTTAAATCATCAAAAATAAGTGCTTTTTACCAGTACCTAACAAATTAAATAACAAGCATTCTGTATGACTAAGTATTTACGTTTCTCTTTTACAGGCGAACAATCGTATAATCCTTAATGGATTGAGTTTGCCTCCGAGGAGGACGATCTCTGATGACCCTAGAGAAATCAGGCAGAATGTGTTGTTATACTACAACAGCACCTCTATCACCAGCTACTCTGAGATCCGTCTGAACATGTCACACATCCAGCTGTGGATCAGGGACAGCACAAGCTCCTCAGGTAATGTGCTGTGGATCTTCTTTCACTCTCATTCGCCTGGACATTAGGTTTGGTCAGGAATCAGGCCTCATTGTGTAGTTCTTGGCTGCTTTTACTGCTCAGCTCTACAGGAAGACAGACAGACCCATTTGTCCATCAAAATACCAGAACTCATCATATAAAGGACTTTTTTCCCAGTGTTTAATTTTATCAACTTTTTTTTATTTTTTAGAATAAATCAAAACAGACACAAGCGAGTTGATTGTTTTCATGCAGTATAGAGCTATGAAATTAATGTGGAGGGCAGCTCAATTAATTTGATCTGGGAATGTCTGAGTTCATTTTGAGTCTTTTTCTCAGGAGTAAAGCAAAGGCAAAGTAACTAAAGTAAAAGCCTCCATTTTGCTCACTGTTTAATCTAATTTCTATCTAAGAGAAACAGCTGAGATGTTACATATGTAATCTCATTTGAGGTTCTTCTTTCATGAGGATTCTCTGCTCTTCCAGTAAAACCAGTGCCTGAGTTTCATCATGGGATGCTCAAAAGCATTTAGGGTCAATCTGTTGAATTTTTATTAGCATGCATGAAAACATATGGACCACAAAACCAGTCTTAAGTCGCTTGGGTATATTTTTAGCAATAGCCAAAAAAACATTGTATGGGTCAAAATTATAAGTTTTTCTTTTATGCCAAAAATCATTAGGATATTAAGTAAAGATCATGTTCCATGAAGATATTTTGTAAATTTCCTACCGTAAATATATCAAAATTAAATATTTGATTAGTAATATGAATTGCTAATAACTTAATTTGGACAACTTTAAAGGCGATTTTCTCAGTATTTTGTTTTCTTGCACCCTCAGATTCCAGATTTTCAAATAGTTGTATCTCGGCCAAATATTGTCCTATCCTAACAAACATCAATGGAAAGCTTATTTATTCAGCTTTCAGATGATGTATAAATCTCAATTTCATAAAATTGACCCTTATAACTGGTTTTGTGGTCCAGGGTCACATATGCTCGTTGATTTGTTCCCGTCGTCTATAAGACCCGGCAGACACACACTCAGGTGTTCCTGATGTGCACTGATTCCATGAAAATGAGTTTACGTTGCTTGTAGCCTCAAGCTGCAGAAACATTGCTTTTCAATTATGGAAAGGTGTTGCAATTCTGTTGCGAGAGTTGTAAACCTTTATTAAATGTATTATTGAGACTGTTTGTCTGCTGTCCTGTTGCTTCACCTGTAGTATCAGCAGAAGTGGAGCACACCACACCAGCACCCAGTTCTTCTCCGGTTCCTCTTCAGATGCAGCTGTTCTCATCTCCAGACTACAGGTTGCCTCTGGATCCCAGCAGCAAAGTTCAGAGTGACAAGAGGGTCTATGCGGAGGTATATGATTCTCAGGGCTCATATAGTCTATATTTATTGTAATTATTCTGTGGAGATTTCTGCATGACCCATATTTGCAGCTTTCAGTAACAGGCATGTGATCAGCTACGAACAAAATAATAGTTTATAATAGTTTTCGAATGTACATAAACAACCCAAACTCACAGCGTTTGCAGAGATGAAATCATTAAAGGGATAGTTCACCCAAAAATGAAAATTCTGTCATTAATTACTTACCCTCATGTCGTTCCAAACCCATAAGACCTCTGTTCATCTTTGGAACACAAATTAAGATATTTTTGATGGAATCTGAGAGCAAAATGGCACCAGGATGACGCGGAGACGACGAATTGTTGAATAGAGTTGTTATTTTTTTTCTTTTGCGCACAAAAAGTATTCTCGTAGCTTCGTAATGTTACGGTTGAACCCCTGATGTCACATGGGTTATTTTACCGATCTCCTTGCAACGTTTCTGGACGTTGATCGTGTAAGGACCCTTGCCGTCTATGGGAGGGTTAGAGAGCTGTCAGAATGCATCACAAAGTTCTTATGGCTTTGGAATGACATGAGGGTGAGTAATTAATGACATAATTGTAATTTTTGGGTGAACTAACCCTTTAATGAAATCATACTTCTGTTTGGCTGATGAGTGACTTTTATTTTGACATCCTTTTTTAAACAACTTCAAACGTGCTTTCAAAAGTATAAATCTGTTTATTGCCTATCAAGGCCATTTCCAAATGATTTATTTCTAATTTAATAAAATAAAAAAAAATCACTGCAGCATATTACTTACTATCTTTAAACTAAATACTGTGATGTCATGTATGTCAGCTTTATATCAACATCTGCAACCAAAAAAAACATATCAGTCAACAACTAAATGGCCACATAATGGCATAAAATGAGCTGTCCACAGAATTTCTGAAACATATTAATTATTAGGAAATTTATTTCTAATCATATTCACTCAAAATAGTCTAAAAACAGCTATCAACCAATGACAATAATATCAAATGCTCAAATGTTGTCCAGATAACCTTATATTTGCACAATTCATGTGGCTCATACATACTTCAGAAATACTGAATTACAGAAAAATCCCATCCCTGCATTAAATGGTCTTTATTGTGCTGAAGCACTCTGTATACCCGGGTATCATGGCAAACACAATAGAAAATGATTGAGGTTCTGATATACAAATGAAACAATACAAATACAAACACCAATGCAAACACCTCAATTTGTTAAAACATTTATTCTTTCTCTATACCAGATCTCAAGTGAGAGCTACGGAGAGTTTTCCCTAAGCATTCAGGTCAGCAGCTGTTGGGTTCGCTCCATGCCAGTGGTGAGGAAAATGCCGTTCAAAGAGGAGGCATGTTACATCGAGGACTGTCCTAAGAGACTCAGCTTCTCCTTCGAGATGCTTCAGGACCTGCCGTCCAGCTCATGGGACCTCGAATGTGCAGTTAAACTTTGTTATGACAGTAAAAAGGTTAGTGGAGTTCTGTTTTTCAGACAGTGTAAAACACTCTTTGCAAAGCCCATATTACACAATCATCTCTTGTTGGTCTCTTTTGTGATTTTAGTTTTGTACAAGCGAAACACAAGTCAAGAGGAGCTTGCAGGTCAAGCCATATATCTCAAACCAAAGTGAGTACAAGCTAATTTCATCTCAGTGCAGCAAGAAAAATCATACTAAATGTCCATTTGAATGTGTTCAATCGATATGGGGTTGACAATGGCAAAAACTACAGAGCAGAGTGGCTGATGGCCGATACAATGCTGACATAGTAAGTGTAATACTAGTGGTTGCCAAATATTTGTTATTTTTTTAATTATTGGCATCAGCTGATATTTTTATTCTGTTTGGCTGATAAGTGTCATTTTTTTATTTTATTTTTTAAACTTTTTTTTCAACTACAACTTCTTAATTTGTGAAAAATACTATAGTAGGATTTGCTGAATCAAGAAATCTCTATCTAAAGAATAAATCTGTTTATCGCCTATCAACGACTTATTTTTAATTTAGTAAAAATAAAAATTTCACTGCAGTATGTTACTTACTATCAAATACTGTGATATCATATCAGCTTTATATCAATATCTGCAATCAAAAAAATCCATATCAGTCAACCACTAAATGGCCACACAATGGCAGAAAATGAGCTGTCTACAGAATTTCTGAAACGTATTAACTGATATGAAATTTGTATCTAATCATCACTCAAAATAGTCTAAAAGCAACTATCAACCAATGATAATACCAATAATAAAAATAATAAAATGCTCAAGTATTGTCCAGATAATCATTGCTTATTGTGCTAATTACAGCAATAAACCATTCAAAAGGTAGAACATCCTTAACACACTTTCATAAAACTGGTATGGGTTTCCCCTGGGTGCTCCCACAAACTGTGTAAAATGGCAATTATAAATTTACAAACGTGGATGAAATGGCCAGAAACATTTATCTCGTTGGGCCATCTGTGTGCGTCAGCTGCCACAAATTGATATCTCAGATATTCAGGAAACTTGTAATACCCTTTAACCTTGAACTCTGTGATGCTGGATAACATTTGAGTCCTAATTTGGAGACACACAGGAAATAAATCCTCCCATTCGAAACACCATTCAGCAGTGTTCATTTCAGAGCACAACAATGGGACGACACGCTATTGTCCCAGATTCAAACTACTCCCATTTCGCCTCTGCAAAATTTGTGCTATTCTGGTGGAGCTGGAGCCGGTGTCGCCCCCCACCTCCGACTGACGTCATCAGTCGACATGTAGATGAGGTCAGGATATGAGGACGAGGACGACGGGAAGAGGGTGTTTATAGGAAGGCCTGCTCGCTGACCTTGTGGCCGCAATCAAAAATAATGAGCCAGTGTGATTTATTGTGTCCGAGGTCTGGTATGCTCGGCCTTTCCGAACACGGGGCCTGGGTCTCCATTGTCAGCCACACACAAAGAAGGGAAGATGTAGTTCTTTAAAAGTGAAGACTGTCCCCGGGAAGATGAGTCAAGAACAAACTCTTGCATTCCTCGCTGCCGGCCCCAGCAAATGCCTACTGCACTCCGCACAAACGCTGACACGGGGTCATGTTTCTGCAGGACACTACGTGCTTCGATCAGTCTCCATCCATGTTGTTTTTTTCCTCCACTGTTGTCCATTTGGGACAGTAGACAAGGCTTCTGCAGTTTGGTGTGATTCTTGACTTTTCTTTGGAGTCGTTTTTCCTGCAGGGCATCTCTGAAAGTCCAGAGATCAGCATTGAGACACGGTCAGTTTGAAAACTCTAAGTAGAAAACAGGTTGTAGGATCTGTTAGGATTCGCCTGTGTTTTGGAGGATGCTGTCCTTCCTGTTTGAGGGGCCGAAGTTCATCCCCTCCTGACCACCTGCTTGGCTGTTTCCTGCCTCTGTTTGCTCAGCTCAGACTTTCTGACCAAACACACAAATAAAAGGCGATATTTGGAGGAAGCTCTGCTGCTGACTTGGAGAAGAAAGCAAATAAAAATGGACATAAAACAGACCCTTCCTGTGGCGTCAAACCAAACGTTCCTCAAGCCTCTTGGGAACCATTATTTGAGCAGCCGAGGTGTTTTTGGTAAACACGCATTTCTTTGCAAAGGTGCTCGACCGTTAGCAAACACCTCGCTATCAAATCGTGCGATTACACAGACACGCACAACTTGATCAAAAACAAGCAGCTGCTATTGACCTTCGTGCTTCCCGTCATTGTCATGGAGAGGAAGATGAGTACGTGTGTGTAGAGCGGCATATATGAACACCAGGACATTGAGGTCATATGGTGGAGATGTAAACAGAGAGGATGCAGAGTGGACGCCACAGGAGACAAATGATGAGCCTTTGACCCACTCGCAGACACGCTTGGCCCACTGATGCACTTGAGGACCGCTGCTGTGTCTGTGTTTGCTCCACTTTTGACATGAGCAACCTGAGCTTTCTGTTAAATAACCTTTGAGAAGTTATGCTCTTGATTTCATCCAGTGTTGGCGAGTAACTAAGTAGTGATGCTACTACATTTGTCAGTAGTGTAACAGTAGTTTAGATGTATGCAAACGAATGCAGTTCCATAAAAGGGCAACTTTTATACTTAATTTGCCCTCAAAAGGTTTATAGTAGTACCTTAAGGGAATATATTTCTACTCTATGGGCCATTACTAACAGCTTGCACCAGCGCAAACCGTCTTTTGGTGTTAAAATAGTACTGTCAGGTTTTACCAAAGACGCGCAGTGAAGAATTAGTGCTGAAAAGGCATGGACATTTTTGCGCCCGAGCATATTGAATATGAATTTGTAGGAGTTTCCATTTCAGACGTAAAATTTATGGGAGGAGAGTATTAAAATGAATCACACAACGTGATTTAGTAATGTTTGCACTTGTCAAATTACTGGTATTTGCTCCATTATTTAACGCCCCAAAAAAGCATGTCTTAAACTATTTTGCGCTTGAAATGCCTGCAATTGTTGTTACTAGAGGAGGCACAGCAGAGAACAGAGAGCACGTGGTAGAAGGGAGAGGATTTTTTTCAACACGTATTAATTTATTTGGAATGCCAGAAGAATACAGGTGCATCTCAATAAATTAGAATGTCGTGGAAAAGTTCATTTATTTCACTAATTCAACTCAAATTGTGAAACTCATGTATTAAATAAATTCAATGCACACAGACTGAAGTAGTTTAAGTCTTTGGTTCTTTTAATTGTGATGATTTTGGCTCACATTGAACAAAAACCCACCAATTATGGCATGTCACCATATTCTAATTTGTTGAGTGGGTGGGTTTTTGTTAAATGTGAGCCAAAATCATCACAATTAAAAGAACCAAAGACTTAAACTACTTCAGTCTGTGCGCATTGAATTTATTTAATACACGAGTTTCACAATTTGAGTTGAATTACTGAAATAAATGAACTTTTCCACGACATTCTAATTTATTGAGATGCACCTGTACATTATCTGAACATCTTGTTTGCCAAGCCATGTTATTTTTAATTTGCTTCAGGAAATAAAAGACGACTTGGAACTCTCAACTAGGAGTCACGCAATACCAGAGCTATCAAAACTTCTTGCAACCCTTCATATTTTGGCCTCCGGTTCTTTTCAATGTACTGTGACTTCTTTATTTCTTTATTCTTTATTTGCGACTATGCTAATTTTCACTGCACTTGGTATATTGCGTTGGTCGATATGTAAATGAGATGTTGCGGCTGTGTTTTTTAATTTGCGCGTTATTAGTAAATCACCTGCAGAAATTTCCACGCCCATCGGTGCTGTTTTGGAACTGCGCTTTCACGCTAATTTGCCGTTTAGTAAAACTGGCCCTAAATGTGTCTTTACACAGCCAAGTTAAGACTGCTCAAAAGTCTGTGTAAAGATTCAATGCTGCATAAAAGCCAGGCTAAACTGCATGCTCTGACCCACCTCAGTCCCTAGTATCAAAGTATTTTATATATAAAGGTACAGTTGCTGTGTACTGTAAATACATTTGTGCCACCTCTTAGCAGCATTAAACGGTCTGTGTAAAGGCACCTAAAGGTACTAACGTGTACCTTTTAGGGTGCTAGTTAGAGTACAGAGAGTATTGCTGTAGTGACGAGGTGTTGAAAGGATTTTTTTTCTGACAGTGAAGCATTCCCCCCCCAATACACTACATTAGCTTCACAACCAAATAAACAAGGCAACAATCAAATGCTCAAAGTGAAGAAAAAGGGAAAATGGTTCATCTGGACAGTCTCTGTAACATTTTACATTTTCTTTCCTTTTTCTCTTCTTTCTTTTTTTGTGGGAACAAAATTTATATAATACTTATTTTACTAAATAAAGTTGAATGTGTAATTGACTTTTTAGTTGTGTAATATTTTATGATAGCACAGGAATCTCTTTCATCCCTCTTGCAGAATATATTTCATTGGTTGAGCTAAGATGAAATAAAGATTTCACGATAATAAGAACACTTTAATTTTAAGCATCCTATAAGGGTTTGATTTATAAATAAATGATCAGTAACAAATGTCTTTTGCTGAGAAACATGTGAATTACTAATCTTCAGTGCGTGCAGCTCTGATCTGCTCAGAATGTTCTGATCAATTTTGCAATAGAATGTAATGTAAATGCATTAAAATGTTTATACAATTTATATTAATAAACATATTTAATTAACTGCACGTGTTAAAGTATTTTGACAGCCTTGATATATACTGTAAACCTGGGCTCTTCAACTCCAGTGCTGGAGGGTCTTGCTCAGTTTAACTCTAACCTTAACCAAACACACCCAAACAAGCTAATAAATGTGTTCAGAGTTGCTTGCAAATGACAGAAATCTTGGTGGGTTAAATTGGGATTGGAACTACAGTCTGCAGAACACTGGCCATTCAAGACTGGAGTTAAGGAGCGCTGCTCTAGGGCATGGTTTTCCGTAAAGTGTGTATTGTGAAAAGCACTATATTAATACAACTGACTTAACTTGATGGTCTCAGTAACTTTCTTGTAGTTAGCTAGAAGCTTTTAGTGTAGCTAGCTACTTTTAAGGTAGCTTCTTTCAGAGTAATTTCTACTCTACGTAATGACTAGCTTGTAGCTTGACAAACAACAGATTCACAATACCTTCCTCGACACTGATGTCATCTAATGCTAACTGGCATACTGTGCCTATAGAACACTGATGTGGAAATTAAGTAGAGCTAAGTCTGGGGGTGTAATTCTTGCTTTGGGTTGCGAGAGGTCCCAAGTTCAAATCCCGGACGAGCCCCCAATTTCTTACTGCTGCGGTCTGACCTAGATATCCCTTTCAACTGAACAATGGGGAAAATCACTTTACAAAGGCATGTTAACAATTGTCTTTCACTGAATGAGGGAAAGCAGTGACTTCTGAACTGAATATTTGCTCTGTTTCAGATCCGTGTTTTGAGTTCGGACTCTCGGCTGTTCTGGGAATCGCATTCGGAGGATTTCTGATTGGAGTTCTCCTCACCGGTGCTTTATGGTTTATTAAGATACGAACAGGTGAGTTACAGGCATTTGGAATGAGTTATGTTTAGCAGAGCTTATGACTTATTTAAATACTCAAGCGTGAGAAGATGTATTTGGTAGAGTTTTCTCTGCTTCTTTAGCTTATGAGGGAAGAGGTGGAGAGAGCAGCTCTAACAAGCCTCGCGATGATTTCCAACTAGAAATAAGATGAAGCAGTTAAGTAAGGCCGCTGCCGCAGTACCTCCAGACTGATGAGCTGTTCTTGTCTTGAAGGGACTTTTTGACATGTTCTGAATATAAGTGATCCATTTATGAGTTTATAATCAATGATAACGTCCTGATTTCATGTGTGCATGTGTTTCAGGGCATGCTGTGGCTCTGGGAATGAGATCAACGGCGGCCGAGCTCTCAGGTAAACTGAACTCTAAACGAGTCAATCTTTTCCTCAGCACACATCCTCTACTCCTTTCCTGTCGCATTCCTTTTGCCTTTTATGATCGCCTCACTCGATAGTTGCCGTGGAAATCTGTTTTTGTTTATTTCACTCAAGATTCTCTGTGTCTTTTGTCCAGTCCTCTCTATATCCGGATGCCCATGTGGTTTGACCAAACGGCAGCCAGTGCCCACCCACCCGTCTCCCTCTGAGAACAGCAGCGCCAACGCCAGCATTGGCAGCACCCAGAGCACACCCACCAGCAGCATGGCATAACACCGTCGCCCCTAATGCTCTCTCCCTCTTGAAGCCATCTCGCTCCACATGTCCCATCGTCCCGAGCGAGAGAAAAAGAGGGGCAGTAGCAATCCTGAAATATTCCCTGTACCTCACAATACTCCATTCGCTTTCCCGGCTACGGGAAATCAGTGGGGACGAAGAACAAAAAAAGAAAAAGCTTGGCTCCCAGAGACAGGAAAAACAACGCATAACCCCCAGGAACTAACAGGAAATTCGTTGCATTCTTGCGCCGGTGCCTCTCTGATGGAGGCGAACTAAGATTTCACAGACAAACAGCGGTCTGACGCATCAGTTCGCTTTCAGACGCGGCTAAATGTGGCTCAAAGAGGCGACTGAACAAACGTCAGACCACCCCATATCCAAACACTCGGCTGTGGACTGACCTGATGAAATATTCCAACAAATCAAACTATTGGACATGAACATAAAAGGAAGCCCTTTTTTAGTTTTAGAGTTCTTACTGAAAAGGCTGTCTCACATGGGACAGATTGGGAAATGGCTACCTCTGAGTCTCTGTGGATGTAGATTTGTTTTATATTTGTTTGACCATAAATAGAAACAGTTTCTGAATCTCATGAAATCTGCCAAAACGTGTCCTATTTAACCCCCAAATCAATAGAAATACAGAAGCAGTACCTTTTTTAGCAATGTGACATTTTCTGATGCAGAGATAAATTATCTCATTCTTATTACTGATATGTAAAAAAAA